TATCAGATCTAAGTTTGGGAGAAGTAGGTTTAAAAGAAAAGACACAGAGTAAAGAAAGCTTTCCTGGTTAGAATTTTGGCCAATGGAATATAAAGGCTATCATTTACAGCAGGTGGCAGCTATGTAAAAAAAAATGATGGTATCAATGTAAAATGGACAAAATAAAGACAATATTTTCACAAGCTTTCCCCAATGGCTTTAAAATAAGGTCACTTTGACACTGCAGGAAGAGCTTGGTATCAGCCTCCTGCTCTACAGTTTGACAAACTGGGCTTGACCATTTGTATGAAATGAGACTCTTTTTTATTACAGAATTTCCCTCCCACTTTTGAAACAATGACATTTGAAACACAACTCATGCACATTTAAAAGTTCATCTGTAATTCTCCCCCTCCCACCCCTCAGCTCCCAGGAATACACAAATATTTCCATATGCAATCACATTCCACATAGTTAAAGTGTGCATTTTTGGAAAATGACACCAGAAGCTCTATTAAAAAAAAAATCAACACTGAATTGTTACTGGTAACATAGCTATGCATCTAATTTGAAGACATTCTCAAAGTCTGTCATACATATCAAAAGCTCTCATTGTTATTCAGAGAAAAAAATTAAAATGGAAAATAAATATTTCTTATACTTTTTTCTCCACAAAAATAAGTGCACCAGCAAACTTCACACTGAGAATTCTGCTCCTTTTTGTCTTAAAGGGAACCTATTTCTCAAGTGAATTGCCTTCCCTACCTTATTACTTGAAGAGATTACAGTCAGGGCTGTATATTGCAGCCACCCTGTATTTAGAAGCTGGGTAATAAACCACATAAATAGCACACTGAATAAAACATTAAGACATAAAATGAGTTAAATAGAACAAAGGGCTAAAGCTTATTGTGCAGTAAGCATGCCCGACCCGCGGAAATACAGAAAACTCATAATTCTAGTTAGCAAAACGCAGAGTTGGGATTTAAATCAGGAGGAAGCCGGTGGTGGGTGAGTGCTGGAGCCCCTTGCACAGCCTTGCAGGGCCCTCTGGTGGAAACAGGAATCCATCTCACGGCTGCCCACAGCACTGCCAGGAAAAACGATGCTCCAGCCCCAAAATAAAGGGGCATCAAGCAGCATGGGTTTTCCCTGTTTTCTTAAAAGCAGCAATATTTCTAATATAAAGCTGAATTTTTCAGCTCTACTTTAAGGAGATTAAATCCTGGAGCCTGTGTAAGTAAGGAATTTTTCTTCTGACTCCAGTGGGAGCAGAGTCTGTCTATAAAGCCCTGAAAGTAGAGAAAAGAAGTCCTTAAAGCTGTGAAAAACAGCAGTAATGTGGAACATTCTGTCCAAAAATTTAGACCCTACAGCAAAGCTGGAAGCATTGCAGGTGAGCATCACCACATAAATCAGTCTCCAAAAAGCCAGGTAATTCATTGCAGAAACTGCTCAGCTGGCTGTGCCAGCTCAGGGTCTGCAGGGCCAGCCCTCACACGAGCTGACCTGAAAAAATGTCTTTTCAATGCTTCTTCATTTGTGGCTTTCAGCAGTGAGGTGGAAACAAACCTTTTCTGGTGCTAAATGTATGTTGCTTCATCCAGAACAGCATGGAATTGATCATTATATTGGTGTTAGGTACTCAAAAAGCCTGAAATACTGCCCATTTAAAAAAAAAAAAAAAAAAAAAAAAAAAAAAAAAAAAGCAAAATTGGTGCTTATGCTTCCCTTAGTTATTGTCAGGGCAAAAGAGAAACTCTTCAGAAGGCATTCAGAGCAACAAAGTCAGATTAATATTCTCATGTTTCTTCTCCACACAGGTATACATGGGGCTGCTAAAATAATCTGCACAAGCAGCATCTTCAATGATCTAAAAATGGCATTTTTAATGATCTAATGGTGATGAGAAGGAAAATTTCTCCTCTGACTTTTGCCTCTGTCAGTCAGGGCAATCACTGTTCCAATGAAAAACAGGCTGCAGTCTCCAAGCTGGATTCAAGATGCAAACTGCTCCAGAGCAAGGCAGGATTGAACATTTCTCCTCTGACAGGTATTTCAGGGGATATTTGCAGTGAATATTTCACAGAGCAAAAGAAAGAACCAGGTCTGTCTTACACTTCATTCCAGGGAAGAACCTCCATTGCCAAAGGGATTTCTCAATGCCATTCTCTCCCACTTTTCAGGAGCAGGATGGCTCTTGGGTCCATAAGATCCAGTCTCTGTCCCTGCCTGAATAGGGCACACAGCTGCCAAATGTGATTTTTTCAGGCATCATCTAGCATGACCTAGGTCAATAATTGTCTTTTCCCAGATTAGGCTCCTTTAAAATGGCAGCATTTTGAAAAGAAGAAGTCGATTCCCACTTTTCATCTTAAATTCTCTTGTCTGCTCCTAGTTAACAAAGTTTCTTAGCTGTAGTGAGCACACACTTATTTAAAGGTGCTGATGATGTCGAGTAAATTATTTGAAACACACTGATTGTCAGGAGCAGACACAACCTGCTGTCAAAAACCAGCTCCTCTCAGAGCACCCTGGGTTGGGCTCCTCACACCTCCCAGCTCAGCAGTACCTGTCAGGGGACAGATGCTGGACCTAAAGGACAAAGCCCTTGCTGAACCCAAGCCTTGGATTCATCCCTCTAATGTGCTTCAGGACATTTTACTTTGAAAAATGGGAATGCTGCCTATTGACTGCAAAAATTTTATCTCAATTGCTATCCAAGAACATGCTAATTTGTATGAAATAAATGAGGCTAATTATTTGCTTTCCACAAAACAGGCTCTGCTAAAAGCTCTCAATTATTTGTTTTCCTGATGAACAAGGCAGCACCTTGCTCACATAATGGATTCCATCAGAGATTTGATTATCCATTAGAAGGGCAATCTATGTGTTGTGTCAGGCAGCAAAGATAAGATGGGGCTGGGAAATGCAGATCCCTTGAGAACAGATCCCTAAACTCTCTGTGGTGCCAAGAGTCAGATTTAGGGAGCTGGAGAATCAGAAATGGGATCACTGCTTCATTTACCACATGGAATCAAAGAGGGATGGGGGTCACTTCAGTGTGCAAAGGAGGGAAACTCACACCTGGGGAAGAACAGGACACTACAGTCTAAAAAGGTGCATGAAGGCTCCAGCTTCAAGGGGGTCCATTTGAAAAACAGCTCCACAGCTGGACCAAGCTATTGATGAGGAGCAGAACCTTCTTTTAGCTCACCAGAGAAGTCGCAGCACACAAACATACTTCAAGTCAAGCAACTTGACTGTGTTTGAGGTACCTCTTTGATAAGGTGCAAAGAATTCCTGGTGTCAATTTAAGGTATGCTCTCAAGTAGTCCAAAATTTCATGTAAAAAATATTGTAATGATTCACATAATACACTGTGTTCATCATACAAGCCCACAATACAATATCACTGCTGCCTTATTACAGGTATTTCCCTTAGGTATACAGGCAAAGTGCATCTTGAAAAGACAAAAATAACATTTCTTCTGACATGACCACTCCCCAAATGACAGATGCTGCTGTTCTCCAGGTTTGTCCAGAGTCAGCTCTGAAATGCTCTGCTATTAACTGGTGATTGTGCACAGACCCCCTTCCTCATAGAAGGGACACAACTCATTCCCAGAGCTGCAACATGGGTCATCCTCCACAACTGCATGCACTGGAGTAACTCCTCAGGCTTTTGCCTCTCAGTCCAGTTACTCTCCACAAACTGTGGCTGTGTTTTACAGCAAACAGAGTGCTGCCCAGCCAGAGAAAGCAGTGCTGGTGATGGGGGAAGGCAAGGAGGAGTTTTGTAGCTCTCACAGACACAGCAGCTACGTGCAGGTCAGTCAGTCCTGCCTGCCAGTTCTGGAGATATTTTGGTGAGCACAGGAGGAGCCTTTAGCTCCTGCCCAGACAGCCACTGGAAGCAGCCAGGAGAGAGATCAATAGTTTGTCTCTCCTGGAGGATGGAGCCTCTACCAAATGCATCCTCACTTCCCAGCCCTGAGGGGAGTGGATGCTAACATTAGACCTGGACCCACAGGAGTCTGGCTCAGATCTGAGGACATCACACGTGGATTCGAGGTGTAACACCTGATTTAGGGGCACATCACAGAGAGGAACACTTGCAGAAATCCCCAAGCCATGAAGCTGACTATGGTGCTGAGAACAGACCCATTGTGGGGTTTGCAGCCAGACTTCTGATCTCTACTGAAGAGCAGCTCTGACAGGGGGTATTTTGTTACCTTACCTCTCTCTAGTGGGATCAAAGGGGGCACAGTCTTAGCACAGCTATCCCATTTTATTCAAGACTTGCACAGATACCTTCGCGTTAGCACTGGTACATCTCCTTTTCTTTCTGCTTTCAAGCTGATGTCTGCAAGATCCTACCAGTGATGTTGCCACAAAAATCCAGGCTGGAAGTCAATCCAGCTTGTTCTGAGCTTTTTCTGGCATTTATAATACGATAACCCATCCTGCCTGGTAGGTATTTCCCTACTACAATAGTCCATCCCTTAAAAGCAAGATCTTTGTTTTCCTCATTATGCCAGTTAGGAAAAGGAGGAGAGTATCAGAGGCTGATCTAAGCACAGGTCAGAATTTGTGTCAGTCAGTGGGAGAAATGGCTAACATGAGTCTGAGGGCTTCGATTTATTGCCCACCACTGCTGTAAAGTCAGTTGATAACAACAGGATTAAGAGGGTGAAGATAAAGATACATTTCAGAATGTTTTTGGATAAGGACAAAGCAAAATGACACAAACAAATGCCAAAGACCTAGCAGTCATGAAGTCACTCCAAAAACCTCCTGGCGAGCTTCAGTACATAAATAACTAGAGAAAAGCCATGAACATTTACAATAACTCTTCTTTTTTTTCTTCCTTGTTGGTGGTGTATTTTTAACCTATTGCACTGATTATAACATGCTGTCAACAGCCTCATCAATTATCCATTGCTAGAAAGTGGGCTCTAACATGCTGCAAGTGGTATTAATTGGTCTCAGTAGCACATAATGAGTTTAAAAGCTCCTACCTGTGTGCCCCCGGGGATGGTGACTAGAGGCGGACAACAATTTACAGCAGACCATTAACACATAGAGCAGAAAGAGCCAGTCAGACAGAAGCATTGATTTGGCACAGAATCTCATCCTGGAGGCAGAAAAGGAAGCAGTTGAGTGAAAGAACAATGCAAGTAGGGAATAACATAAAAACAATGTGGGGAAGGAAAAGCTGAAGGGATGCTGAAGAATAACTGATGTGGGTTATTGCAAGGCAACACTCACAAAATCATATTCATTACTTGGTTGGGATCAATTCTTTGTTAAGGACATTTTAAAATTAGAAGCAATGTCTATCACACATCACATTACCCACAAACACATGTTTATAATAACACATTATGAGTGCCATGCAGTTGTATGAATCTGAGATGAGGGATGGGTTCTTTTATCTTTTATCAAGATCCAGCCAGATTCAAATTTAAACACACACATTTATAAGTTGTGCTACTATTTTTAAACTGCACCTCCCCCAATGACAGAAAAAAAAAGTCATTTTTACTTAACACTTCTCAGGATATATATTTACTAAATAAATATATAATAATTTACTGTAATATAATATATAATTTACTGTAGCCTTGCACAGTTCTGGGCTGGGTCTCCCCAACACACAATTTGGGAGATTTCCTGGAGATCACCCAAATATTTACTGAGGGTAAAACCCTCATGAAGCAGCACCTCAGTCAAACGTGCAAGAACTCACTTCTCTGTGTTGGAAACTGCATTTCAGAAAATATTTGCTCTAAAGAAGGTGTTGTTACTCTTATTCATGTTATTCTTAGAACTAAGATCCCAAATCCTCCTTCATTTTTCTGCAAATATCTAGAATTAAATCCCTCAATAGCTTATGTTATGCCATTCATCATACAGAAAGGGAATCTAATCATCTTTTTAAACTGAGTTATGATGATTTATTGCTTGTATGATACATAAATGGGCGTTATGTACTTGAACCCTTAGATACTGTGTTCCACAATTTCAGCAAATTCTGCAAGCAGGAATACATCAAATTAATTAAAGGCAATTTATAGATTTGCATAAATTGAAGCAAATGCTGTTTTCATGGTGGTGACGTTAGTCTGCAGCTAATCAGCATGCTGGGATTTAGGCAAGCCTATCATGAGTTTATTTGCACCAAAAAGTCCTTTGGGAACTGCTTTTCCTCTGCAGATTCCAGTTCTGAGTCTTTTCTACAACAAAATAATCTGTATATCTTGAAAATACCTACGACTACTCAGCTAATCCAATGTTCAAGTGCTGAATTTAAAAAAAGAAATCCCAAGCAACACATGCCTTAGACAGCTCTATTGTCACAGCCAGGTGACACACTTGGATGTTGTTTAAATTTGATAAACATCCACCAATGAAACCAAAACAGAGGCCTTGTTTTCTCTCTTAAAATTGCTCACACAATTTCCCTTTTCACACTTTGCAGAACAATATTTCTTCTCTAATTGCAAATGTTGATAAAGCCAAAAAAAATTTAAAATGGACTTATTGATTTCAAAAGTTAAGAGACCAGAAACCTGCTGCATGTAAATATATTTTAGCAACAAATTCTGGTTTACACTGTAGTAAGATATACATTGGTGCAAACCCCAGCACCATCAGCCTACAATTTATTTTTTTTAAATTACATAAATATTGCAAAAAAAAAAATCAGCTCACCACGTCTAGATTTCAGAGAATGAAAATTATATGTGAAGAAGCCACACTTTAAGCACTGATTTGGCAAGAGGGTATCTTTTCTGGCTTTAAGAAGATGCTCTGTTTTGAGCCCAATATATTTCCATGCTGAATATAGGAACAAACACCCTGCTGGCCTTTTACAGCTGTGCACAGGAGACTTCTGTGAGCATGAATCAAGCCCAGCAGATAAAGACATCACTGCTCCTCACCCACCCTGTAAGTGCCCTCTCCTGGAGCACTCCCAGGCTAATTCAGAGCAGCTGAACCAAATTCACCTCTTGCATGCAGCTGAACCCATAATGTCACTGCAGCTAATGGGATTGAGGCACTGTGAAACCAGCATAAATGTCACTATTGCTCTTGGTCCAGTATTAGCCTAGGAAATCTGCCTGGTAAGTTCTAAAATCACTGTACCATTTCACATTTTGGTCGTCCAAATCTTTCCCAGGTGACTAAACCCTTTTTATTTTTCTTTAGGAGAGAGCTGAATTTAACCTTAGTTTTCAAAACACACAGGTTACAGCTCATGAACAGGATGTCATCATCTGCTCAGCTTCCAATCCCATCCTTCTGTTGCTCTAAATGCAAATACTCAGATCTGATCCAAGTTCTGGTGTCACTCTGATGTGTTACTCTGATGTGTCACCATGAAGACACAAACCTTCCTCCAGCTTTCCTGTGGAATTAAACACCCCTTAAACACTGCTCAGGCATTCTGAACATGCCATTTCTGCTGGGAGGTGGTGGAAGGGGCAGGTGTGATGATGGACAGGTCCCAAATCATGCATCATATGCTCAACAGCCGCTGTTCCAGCACTTTAGTGGACCCAGGTGTTCCCACCACTCCCAGTGCAGCAGCTAAACTGGTCTCAGTGGAAATAGTCTTGTACTATTTCCAAAAGTTTTCCCCAGCTGAGTTTGACTCTTTTGAGACATTAAACAAGGAATGTGAAACCAGGGCTCATCAGGTTAACAGGGTAACCTCAGCCCTGAGTAAGGACATTCAATTCCAGGAAGAAGTGTATCACCACAAAGCATCCACTCGCTCCTATCCAAACTGAAAGGCTGCTAAAAGCATCCAGTGCCATCCAAAGGACACATCTGCAGGCTTTAGTCTGCCTTGCAGGTAGACAGGGCACAAGTTTTCAGCCTGCTAATGTAAAGAAATACAAGAGGATCTTTGAAAAGGCAGGGAAAAAATGAAATTTGGCAGACAGATGCAGCAAGGGGTGCTGAGCCCTTCAGCGTCAGTAGGCTGCTGCTTTCAGAAATGTCAAGCCTTCATTCTCTATTGGATTCAAGTGGATATTGTTGCTAACCAGAACAGAGAATCTTCAGTGTCATTTGAAAGATAAAAAGTGCTCTTACCTTGGGGACTTTGCAAGAATTTTGTTCCAGTCAAACACAATTATTTCAGTGTGTTTTTCATAGTTATTCCAGATTCCCATTTGCAGCAGCAAATAAGCCTTTCTGCATCTCAGAATTTTTTCCTTCACTTCGGGGACCTAGAAAGAAAGCCACAATACACTGCAATTAACGTCTGCAAAGGTGCTGTAAAACACATCTTTGTTCCCAAAATCTTAGTTTCACAGTGCCATCTACAGTGCAATCGGGGACAAAAGGCAGCAGGTTTATTTCTCTTTTCTTTCTGAGAGCACAGAGAGGCTGTGGTGAGGCAGCTCTGGGGTTTCATTACATTAACCAAAGGCAGGGTTTGCTGTTCATGGGGTTGCAAACAGAATGTGAGCAGCTCTCTGGGGTCTCTCCACCCAACACCCAAGAGTTTGAAGCAGAGATTATTAAAAACAGTGGGTAAAATCTGTCATTGTCTTCATAAAAACTTGGCCCAGGCCCTGTGCCTGCCTCAGCAGAGAGGGTCACACCCACAGGACAGTGTCTGGAATTGTGCATTATTGCACCCTCTGACCCTGCTGCCTCTCCTGGTAAGCTCTAAAATCTGTGTACCATTTCAGGTTTTGGTCATCCAAATCTTTCCCAGGTGACTGAACCTTTTTTTTTTTAACCTTAGTTTTCTTGGCCTCTGCATGAGAAACACACAGGTTACAGCTGATGCTGTAACCCAGGAGTTCCACTTTGAAACCTCCACATGGAAGTACTTTCACAGCAGCTCTGACACATGTTCTGCAGAATGAGGAGCTCAAACACTCCATTTTATAGACACTCAGGCCTCTTTGCTTTTGTTGTTTATATTTGTTCTCCCACTTCCATCCCTGGGCACAACTTGACCTTCTGCTACTGAAAACATGACACAGAGCAATTTGTGAGTGGTAATAATGTGGTCTTCACTAGACAGCAATCCCAACCTTTTCTTGTCTTACCCACAATTCTTTGCATTTCACTCCTCCTTTGATCAATTAGAAATTTGCTTTTATAGACACAAAATTACAGCACCAAACTGGAGGGCAGAGCTGTCTGGGGTCATAAAAGCACATAAAACTCCTTTCAGAGCTCAGGACAGGAAAGCCCCTGCACAACACACTCATGGAATCACAGAACCTTCCAATCACAGGTTGGAAGGGACCTTAAAGCCCATCTTGTTCCAAACCATGGGCAAGGACACCTTCCACTGGACCAGGCTGCTCAAAGCCCCATCCAACCTGGCCCTAACAGCTCCTTTTTGTTCAGAATGCCATGAGAAAATAGAGTAATTGCTGGAATTAAAGAGGTGCCAGGCTAGCAATCTATAATTAATCACATTTTGCTCTCTTTGCTTTCCAATGTGGAGTTCCAGGCTGAGCCAAAACCAGCATTTCTATCAAATCAGCAGCACATATCAAAACAAAATGTAGGCAAAGAGTTGTCTTAAGAAAAAGCACTACCATCCTGCATTCATCCTTTCTTCCACAAATACACATAAAATAAAAATAAAAATAAAACAAGAGTGTGCCTCAAAAGACCTATTAAGAAGGAGCAAACAAACAGGATTTTCAATACAGCATTAACTGACTGAAACGGTTATGTGGTACATTTTTACCCATTTCATAATAGGACAGGTAGATAAATACACTCTTACAGTGCTCTTGAAGAAATCAATACTGCAGTACACTAACTTGGGGTTTAGTGCTTATCTGTTCCATAATTTTTATTAGAGAGGAAAATAAAACCCCGTGCAGATGCAGCTGCAGGTAAATACAAACATCAGTGGAACCTGCTCTGTAAACACATGTTAAACACTGGTAAAAGGCAAGGGAGTATTGATTAGTCCAACTCATCCTAATTAAGTGGATGCACTGAAAGTGACAGATGATACCTCCACCTGCATATCTCCAGGCTTTCTGATGCCTTCCAGGCAGAGATATTTCTTTAAAAAATAGAGTTGTATTAAGGGAGATTAAGGCAAACTCCTGAAACCAGCTTCAGCTGGTTTATGTCAATAAAGGAGACAGATCAGAACAGAAACAAGAGGCTCACCTGGTTAAGAGCTGTAAAAGGAATTCCAGGCTTTTGATGGCAGAAGCATGCTTTGTGTGTGCTCTGTGAACAGTGGGTTTAGCTGCTGGCCCTGTCTTGTCTCAGGGTGACACATTACTCTGGAAAACAGAGCTGTTTGTTTGTTTTTATACAGTGAGCTCTGCCCAGTGAGCAGCTGAACTCCACCTCCATCTCCAGCAAAGATGTACAAAAGAAGGAAGAGGGAATTGGAGAGGAGAAAAGTTCCATTTTGAGTATTTATGCATGGGCTGGCCATGAGCAGCTCCTGCTTTGCACAGGAGTTCCTCAGAGGTTACACCACTCCCCTGGGTCAGTATTTAGGGCAAATGAAGATTGTGGGATCAGGGATTTGGAGGGAATTGCAATGGTCAGGGCTGCTGCACAATCTGCTCCCTGTGCCTCTGCACTTGAGTAAAATGGGTATAAACAGCATTTCCCTGTGCCAGGGAAGAGTTTCAAGAACAGAAACAATAAAGGTCTAAAGTTATTTGAAAACTGTATAGGCACTGTATAATTCCTTTGACAGATGGAATAAGATAACACTTTAAATTAGGTACATTTCCTAACCAATATTTACATGTTGTAAAATACTTTTTATGGCTACTTTCTGCAAAGAATAAATTACCAAACCATTTTGTGCCATCTTTTATAATAAGCTATTAAATAATTTAGAAAACCTCCTTTCATTAAATATTTAAAAGGCCTTAATTTCTCCATTCTGAATAATTCCTCACTTAAAATACAACTGTGCATCTCCTAAAGTCTCCTCTTCTGTAAAGCAAGGGGTGAGAAGGAAAAAAATTTGGGGGCCATGTGCTGTTTAGGGGATTTTCCAGCCTGACTTTAACCCCAATGTCAGCCTGGCCAAACTCTTATCTCACACTGAATAAAGGACAAAGGGAAAATAGAGCAATATCTGACATTTCTTAGAGGAGGGCAGAAAGTACAGCAAGTACACTGTGTGTATTTGAAAACTGCTGCTGTTGAGGGGAGCTAGAGACAAAAGAGAGAGCTAAAGCAAACACCTACGCACTGGCTGACCAACCCAGAACACATTTTGGGGCTAAATCACTACACACAGTTATTCAGTGATAGTACTAGAAGGGGGTGTATAAAAAAGAGGAAGAGCAACTTTTTACACAGGCAAGTGTAAAAAGGGGAATGGTTTTAAATGAAAAGCGGAGAGATTTATATTAGACGTTATATAAAAGTTTTCCTGTGGATGGGGATGCCCTGGCACAGGCTGCCCAGTGCAGCTGTGGCTGCCCCATTCCTGGGCCTGTCCAAGGCCAGGTTGGACAGGACTCAGAGTAATCTGGGACAGCGGAAGGTGTCCCTGCCCACGACAGGGGGTGGAATGGATGGGCTTTGAGGCCCTTCCAACCCAAACCATCCCTGGCTGTGCTGATGCTGCCCCATGGCCTGGTGCAGCTCCAGGCTGCAGGTGAGCGATGTCAGGTGCAGGGGTCACTGTGACTGTCCCTATCAGGATACAGGTGAACAATGGCCCTGTAGGGGTGCAGGTGAGTGACATCCCTGTCACGAGACAGGTCACTGTCCCTGTCACGATACAGGTCACTGGTGTCCCTGTCAGGACACAGATCACTGATGTCCTGTCATGATACAGATCTCCCTGTTGGGACACAGGTCACTGATGTCCCTGTCACCACACAGGTCACTGTCCCTGTCATGACACAGGTCTCTGTTGTCCTGTCGGGATACAGGTCCCTGTCATGACACAGGTCACTGTTGTCCTGTCGGGATACAGGTCTCTGTCACGACCCAGGTCTCCGCTGCCCCTCCCGCGGTG